GGAATAATTCTGCCTGAATATTCGGCTGAGGCTGGCACAGTCTGGTGTTTGCTAGATAACAGTTGAGCCAGGGATCAGCGTAATATTATACACAGACCTCTAAAGTCACGCAATAGAGTGTGAAGTGAATGAATGTAAACTTTATGAATGAAAAGAACGCAAATCAAACACCGCACTGCTGTTGCCTCTCTGTGCATCTCTCAGAAATCAGAGCTTGGCAAGAGTAATATCACCTATAATAATACATCATACACGTTCTATTATTTGTATATATTTAAAAGGCAATGATTTAAACCATAGGCTACGATATGATACGAACAAATGGAATAAGCGCACAGCACGCTCACCAATCAAACAGCCGCGTTGCCGTCTCTGCGTGTCTCAGTCTCTCAAAAACCAAACCAGCTCTCTCTCAAGAGTAGGCTAATAATCAACTTGGATACAAATACATTTTCTACTAGGCCTACATGTTTTCTTCGTTATCTTTTGCTGGTTTGCGTGGCACACGCACATTTGTTTAGTGAAGTTCAAAAAAAGACTCGCTTAAAGAGTTCTGCGTAATGAAAATGTGTGTATTGAATTAATTCAGTCGTGTTCAAATGATCACTAAACGTTTGTCATGACATCTCTCTGCTTGCACGATAAATATATTTTTAGAAATTAATAATTAGTTTAACACGGCATACTTGTTCAGTGATAACTATGAAAAAAAAAGATAGTCATAACGGTCTTATCAATTAACTGTACGACGTTCCACCTGGTTTTATCCGAATGCAGATACGAATAATTTTGTGATTGTTACAGATACAAATACAGATACAAATATTGGCTGTTACATGAAAATTAAAATATGTAATGTCATAATTATAAAGTTTTGACAAATTACATATGTAATTGTTGCATTAGGCTATGTGAATTAATAAGCGTTATTGATAAGAACCATTTCATGTCTTTTCATTTACAGTAGCATGAACCACGAGTAGTCGAGTAACTATGCACCTGTATATACCCTATTAATCACCACTCCTACATCTAACATAATTAAACTTACTTCCTTCCGTGTCCAGCTGCGGAAAGCATTATTGAGAGCTTTGGCTCCATGGACCAAGTATGTGGCAGGATGCCGTCGATTCTCTCTTAGACCTAAAGCGGATTGGAAAAACAGAAAAATTACATTACAAGTACATGAAAGAATGCTGTACTAAAACAAAAATAAGCAGTAAAAAAAGAGAGCCATTTGCTTTATGAGGAGAAACCTCACCTCTGAAGGTGTCCAGCAGATGCTTGCCAACATACCAGCACACGGTCTCAAAGTTTGGAAACCTGAACAAGTCTGCTGTGCTCAGTCGCTTTTCTATTTCATACGCTCTGATAGAAAAAAAGAAAAGAATGACCAATGAAAAAGCCCAGTACAATACAATACTATTAAGGAGACAAACAGAAGCATCATCTCACCGAAGCTGCATGTCAATGTTGAGGCTGTGTAGAAAATTTCCCCCAAATGCCAAACAGTCGACAGGGGTCAGAACAGCATGAATCCACCCTGACAGCAGATAATTATCGCACAAAGAATCACCATTATTAATCTAATTGTAATTTCTCAGTCACATGGGATATCAAAACATCTAACTCCTGGCAGAAACAGAGATAGTACCTGTTGGGATGAAGAGGGTGTTTCCTTGCTTTAGTGAACATTTGTAGCACATGTCTATCTGGTCCCCAAAAAACAGCTCATTCTGATTGGAGGATGAACTCCAGCGCTCAAAAAGCGACAGGTTAGCAGCAGTGGGACGAATGAGGTAAAAGATCTTCTCACCCTGACATGTATAAAAAGAAATACATAAGACCACTTTCGTCTGGAGGACAAAGCATGATGCTTTCTGAAGTAATGAAATACAGAGTCATTCTCTGCTTTCTCTGCTATTTTCCACTGCATGACTTTTAGAAAACAACTAACCCGGAGTACATGGTACCACACAGAAGTTCCACCAAAGTCAATGTGAAAGTCTGTGTAACTGTCCTTCACTCCCATCAGGCAGTATTTCTGCACATTAGGCCTCTCAAAAATAGACTCCTCAGGCCAGAGGTTCTCCACCCATGACAGCTTCCTCACAATCTTTGGTGTCTCCACTAGATTTGACAACCTACCAAAGGGGACAAAGAATATAAGACAGTTTGCAAGGTTAAATCCTCTTAGAAAAGTTGCACCTTCGAACCCCTTTGAAGTTGTGATGTAACAGAAATAGAAACAAATCTTTTCTTCTGTATTGTGACATACATTTAAGTGAAACCGATTATCAAGAAAAATGCAGGGCAAGGACTTAATCAATCGATTGGTTGTTGATTGGACAGAAGCAGATCTGAACTCTAGCTTGTGGTTGATTGTAAGAAAGGGGCAGGGTTTATGGATGATTCAATCACAATAAGATCAACAAAGGGTGAATTTCCATTTCATGATGACTTCAAAGCAACACTGCTACAGCCGTACACATTCAGATGGACATTTGTAGATGTAAATTTGCACCTGGTGTCTGAGAACTCTAAGCTGATCACATTGAGCACTCTGTCTCTGTTTGGGCTGTTGTAGTACTCGACAAACTCTCCCAGTTTCATCTTCAGGTCTGCTTGGCGGCTGACATCAATCACATCGATTTCCTTGTCAGAACCTATAAAGCAATAGTAAAACATTACATTCCCATCTAAAAATAACTTTTCACAAACATACTACTGAAAAAGTAGCATAGCATGGCAATGCAGATGTGATTAGAGTTATTTACCAATATAATGCTCTATATCCGACACAGAGAAAGACGATGGGGGCAAATTCATGCCCAGACCATCCTTCCTGAGGACCAGGACTGGGACGCTAAAGGAGCGCTCCTCTAGAAACTCAACCGTGAGCTGGGTCCCAGTCGGCTTCAGCAGGACTTCATCAGCACTTAAACACAAACAAATAAAATGTCAAATACGTTTTCCAGCATACTCATCATCTTTCAAACAACTTTTAAAAATCCAATAACACCACAGATTGCTAGCCAAAGCTGAATGGTGTGAATCATAGCTTAAAGTCCCCCTGTAGTCAAATATTTTATCCCTTAAAACTTATCTTTGATCATCAAAATTACATATTTAAATGTTTTTTCTTGTGAAAATTATTTTCTCATTCCTTAAAATAGCTTGAATGCAACTCTACACCCTTGCCTCATTTACTATACGCTGATCTATGAATATGCAAATTAGTCCCGCCTCCACTCAGTCACACTTGTGCTGGTATTGGTATATTTTGCATGCTAGTGATAGGAATCGATCCCTTGACGTGATTGGTTATTGGTTTGTGACGTAGCAAACCGAGGGCTGTTTCAAACCGTATTTCTGGGTCAGCCTTTGGGAAACTACAGTTTTAAGGAGAAAATACTCAGCAATGGTGTTTAGTAATAGATTGGCACATGGTTTGTCTAAAGGCATATTAAAAACACCATATAGACAAATAAACAACATAAAAAACTTGATTTTCACTACAGGGGGACTTTAAAGTCTGATCAGAGCTAAATTAATCTGGGTTAAGAAAGAAAGGTCACCTAGTGGCCTAATTTGGACCTGGCAATAAATAATCGTCCTGTGACCATACCTGGGAAAAGTGCGGCTGCGTAGCTCTCTGACAAACTGAGCACTGCCCGTCTTCACAGGTCGTCCTGAGTCTCTCCCCACACCAGCATCAGCGTGTTTAATAGCCCCCCGACGTTTGCGCACTGAGATGGAAACAAATATCATAGTTACTAATCAAATTCGTGCAAGCTCACACATTTGGTATTCCATTCTGAGCTACTTTAATGGTTTAAAATTGTATTTTCATTGTGTTTGTGTTCCACAATGAGGTTGTAAATGGTTTATTTTCATTCCTAGCTGCGCTTGATGAGTTATTAGTCTGTTTCAAGTTATTATGGTTAAATAAAACAGTAACTAATGTTAATACCATAAATAAACCTTTATAAAAGAAATAAAATCAACATTAACGGAAATATATATTTCAACTAGTTACCAAGGTAACAATTCTCATTTTAATTTAACATACTAAAAATAAATACAATTAAAACTGAAATAAAAATGAATAAACTACCCAGACATAATTTATATAAAAACAAAAACTACTAAAAATGACAAGAACACACGACTAAATTACTAAAACTAACTAAAATTAAAACGAAAACAGAATAAAAAAAATTATATATGTGTGTGTGTATATATATATGTACACTGAACAAAATTATAAATGCAACACTTTTGTTTTTGCCCCCATTTTTCATGAGCTGAACTCAAAGATCTAAGACTTTTTCTATGTACACAAAAGGCCTTAGTAAAATAACACTGGATACACATGAAATCAGAGTTATCCCAGCACTCTTAGATAGTGATTTTTTTTTTAATGAAAATAAAACAAATCTTTCAGAAAAAAAATGCATTTCCTCTACAAATCAACAAAATGCCAGTTATTATGCAGTATTTGCGGCACTTACTGACAGAGGGTCCATGTGTCACCTGGCAGTTAGGACAGTGATACAGGTCAATATCTGCCGCTTTGTCTTCCTCCACACCAACACAACTACAAGAGAAAAAAAAATTACAATTGCAAACAAATAACATCATATATACCATAAAGGTGATTTCAATTTGGCTTTCAATTATAATTTACAAAATGCAACTTCCCCTGCCATGAAACCAGTCCTGACAAACATCACACTCAATCATGAACCGGGTGACATCGTAAGGGAGACGGCATAGGCAGTAAACTGGAACAGATGCCATTGTAAAGTCTCTGGCCAAATATGTCAATGTAAAAAAAAAAAAAGTCTTGTAATATGGTATTGCTTCTGTTTGGGGACCACAGTTCACTTAGTTGCCTGTCGAGAGTCAGCTTCACTTCAGAGTGATTCACCAATCAGCTTGCAATGCTGTCAAGACTCCTGTATTCACAGTAGAGTGTTGTATAAGAAGTATGCTGGCAGTGACAACAGCTCTCAGTCAATCGTAGATGAGAAATGCGTCGCTACTACGACCACTGCAGTCAAACCGGGGACTAGGTGGATACCATGGTTCGGCACCTGGTTGACAGAGTGGAGGACAATTAGCTGAGAAAAATTAAATATGATCATTCACAAACTGCAATGAAAATAACACTACATGCACTCTAAACTACAATTTGTTTTTATGTCTGTCCAATAGGATCAGTCAGCAGTTACCCGCTTCATTTGGTTAGCTTAAGTTCTACATCCATGCACCTTCCGCCTTTATTATGGTCAAGAGACTCCATCGAAGCAAGTTTCTATTCATTCTAACATAAGACTTCATACAATAAAGGCAAAAGCACGAAAACTGTTATAATTATATATTTTAAGATCAAATTATTAAACAATCCCTAAACCATCTGTGCCTAGCCTATATAGTCCTGTCCTGATATTCATTTACTTTGGGTTAACGTTAGATCTAGAGAGGTTTTTGAGATGCGAGTCACTTATATACACATTTATGCATTATAGTTGTATAAACCGCACATTTATAAAAGCGACCCCTTAAAAGTAATTCATAATCATATAAATAAAGTAATAACAAACAGTAACTACTCATCTTTGTGTTTATAGTTAATTCACATAGTTCAGAGCTGCAGAGCTTACACTTGGACGATGCTAATAAGTATAAAAGCTATTATGTGCAATGCACAATTAATTTCACTGTGTCCACTGAATTTGTTAATTTCAAAAGAAATGTTTTTGATTTAGCAACGGGGTCTGTGATAGCAGAAAACTGTTTGTTGAACCATAAGAGCTAGTTGCTAGCTTAGCTGCTAATAACATAGCATGCACGTCAACGTCTAACTACGTGAATCTGCCTAATCTTTGTGTTTACAATCCAACAACGATACGTTACTGAGCAAGCTCACTACTCTAAACTCAAATGTAGCTAAAATCTGAAATATGGAGGTTGGGATCATACGACCCATAGCAAAACAAAAGAACTTGTTGCAGCGCGCGCTGTTTCGAACGGCGCTAACGGGTCTTACCGGGTGAGAAAAGCCGCGAGTATCCTGTGGGCCGAGCACAACATGCCGGACAAAATATTAGGAAACTCCGAGGCTTGAGCGGCCTGCTTTACAAACAACAAGATGTTTTCTAAAAACCGTACACTTATTCCGTTATTACGTATTTAACAGAGGAGAGTGAATAAACAAATATGGCAAGATCTCGAAAGAATACAGTCCACAGCTGAAAAGCAAAGATTTTATGAAATTCATAACGCAGCGATTTCCCGTGCTATAAATCCATCCCAATCCGCCCGTGCAGCGACCACTGTCTGCGGGAGAGGGAACAATAAAGTTGCTTCGCATGTCGGTATGGACGGCAGAGACTTCAGATGAGCATGTATACTCTAAAACACTATTTCATAGCCACTATACTCACTATAAGATTGACTTTAGCAGTGGTTCTTGTACATTAACCAAATGTAACACCATGGATAGCTCTTCATCGTCATGGTTAGCTCAATGTAACTAGTTTCTTTTAAAAAAAGCACAAAAAAAAATAAAGCTTTGTTATTAAAAAAATAGCCTAAAATATAGAAATACCTGTTTGTTTGTTTGTTTGTTTATAACCATGCAAAGCTCCTCACTTCATGTAAGTTCAACAAAGCTTCTAAAGCAAAAAAAAAAATCTGTTTAATACCAAAATAAATAGCCTACACAAATGTAGAAACTGTCCAAATCCCAGGGTTTGTTTATCTGAATCTGAATGTATGAATCTACCACGTTACTGCCAAAGTTTTTACTGCAGTTTCCGTAGTTTTATTGCTATTACTTTACTAGCTTCAGACTCATTCTTCCCACTGGTCGCTATTTTGCAACTAACTTTCTCAGCTGGTCGCACGAGCACGTGATTTGGTCGCAATATTATTATTGTTATTTATTTATTTTTATTTATTTTTTTTGCGCTACAACATGGGATTATTCAATGCATGCTGATTAACTTTTATCATAGTTTATAGTTATATGGAAACGAAAGTGGTTAACATTCAACCCGTTCTTTATCATCAGTAGTATTATTTGTGATTTGAACTTTGTGAACGGGAGTTTCTCTTTCGCTGTGTTAAGCCGCGGGCTTCGGATGCTTTCACTTTCGAATTCGCGATCATCTTGATGTCACTGTTTTGCTATACATCTACACACCTTTCATTTTTTAAGACTAAAACAAAAGATGGATTCATTGTTATTCTTAATCAAAAAGCACAACAACAATAAATCAGTAAGATACAATGACAAACTAGCTTACAAAACGTTTATTAACAAAAACGAATAAGATGAGGCATGGCACACACCACATGCTGTATTATATACCGACTAATAAATTACAGAACGTTTAGCAAACACTGAGGAATCAAATAAATAAATAAAAGAGAGCCTCCGTAGCTTAAGGTAAACAGCAAAGATAAGTTTTTCAAAAATGAAAACAAAAAGAAAAGTAAAACTAACGGTGACAGTGCTTGCATGGCTTGCTTTGTTGGAGACGAGTAATTTCTGGCAATCTTGTCGGCTTGATTGCACAAACACTATTGGAAGAGAGATAAACTGGATGATGACATCACTGAATCAACGATGAACTGATTTGTTATTGTCCTCTTGCATTATTGACGAATTATTTTCCTGTTTGTCACTGCAAAGCTGCTTTGACACAATCTGTATTGTATAAAGCGTTATATAAATAAAAGTGACTTGACTTGACTTGACTTGGAAGACGGACGTAACGCTACGTTTGGTTGTCCAGCAGATGGAGACATCAGCTAAATGATGAAGGATTTTGCGAAAACGTCAATCTTCATCGGTTCGAGTTTATTTTGTACTGTACAGTTATAATGGTCACTTTGTGGGTATACAGACAAAGATTTAAACTGACAGTAATAATAACCTACTGAACACCCCCATGTCCATAAATCACTAACATTTTCCTGGTATATTATCACACCACATTTTGACCCATTTCAGTGGACTTGGTTATGAATAAGCTTTTATTTATTTTTTTATTTATTTAGTGTTTTTCCCTGTTTGAATAAGCAAGCATTCTTTTGTCATTGTTGTTGTTGTTTTTGTTATTTTACTTTTTTGAGTGTTTGATACAGTTTGAATTAGAAAAACTAGCCTACTTATTATTTATTAGAATAATTATACAATTTTTTGTATTTTTATATTGTATATATTTTTTTTATAATTTTTTATACAATTATTATTATACAATGTTTTCTTTTTTAGTGTTTATTTAGTGCTTTAGTGATTATTATTGTTATTATTATTCTACGTTTTTGCATTTGCTACTGTTTGAATGAGCAAAACTACTACTACTACTACTTTTAATAATAACAACAACTTTTTTTCATGTTTGCTACTTTTAAAATTTTGGAGGAAGTAATCAAATATTCAAGATAAGGGGGGGGGGGGAACAATTGTCATTGAAAAGTCATATTGATCAGCCACTAATCTGGAGTCGATGTGTTCCCTTCAATGTTTCTGGCTACAGCCCTGCCTCACTCCAAATGTAACATTATTGTGTTCAAGTGTGTGTGTACTTGCTTGTTCATGCTTGACAATCCATGTAGTAATTTCAACTTTTTGAGAACCTTCCCAAAGTGAAAAAAACTCTCATTATGCCCGTCTGCTATGACTGAATATCAGACCCCTAAATAATCAGCTGTACGCCATCCAGCTCCTGATTTCTCCAGTCCTGCTTCTTAGCCTCATTGCTGGTGGTCATGGCCTGGCTTCAGTGGTCGCCGCTCCCATCACAGATTGATGAATTGATTGCAGAATTGCTGCCAGTGAGTCTGTGCCCTGGGCGAGGGCGCCCCGGTTACGGGAGGGAATCCCAGCTATGGCACCCGCCATGGTGCCGCTATTATGAGCGGCCTGCAGGGGGCCATTGGGGCTGGCAACCCAGGGAGCAGCCCTGACCCACATACTGCTGTCACGCCCCTGGAGACACACACTGTGAGGGCAGGCAGGGAGGTGTGTGGGATTTGCCACAGAATAAGGGGGTGAGGTACTGGGCATCTTGCTAAACAAACAGACTTCCCTTCTTATTATTTCTAGGCTTTTCTGAGTCTAAGAGCCGTAAGTGTTCACACAGAGCAGATGAAGTGCTTTCAGTACGCTCTATGAAATTTTCACAAACCACACAAAGATAAGATTTATCACATTCTGTGGTGTCTGATAAAGTTATCAGAATGCAGAAACAAATGTTATAATTGCACACCAAACCGCTGAATGACTGAAGCGACTAAGCCGTGTGTGTAAACCGAATTCTGGAAGAAAAAAAAAAGATCCCAGAATGGAAGCAATTATAGTAGATGAACTTCATCAGGCATGTGGGTTCATTTTTGTTATAAAGACTTGGCTGGTTCTGAAAGACTTGAGTGGTTTTGTTGTGTTACGTGTTGTTTTCCCCATAATTTTTACTTTGTGGAGCACAAGCACCTGTCATATACGTAAATACTTCTGACTTTGATTTAAGGGAATCAGTGTTGTTATTGTTAGCCAAAACTAAACTGTTAAAATCATCATCAAAATTTTATATAATTATCAGGCCTATATGTAAACAATTTTTTAGAACTAAAATAATTTAGAAAAGATTTAAAGAAAAAAAAAATTTTAAATTTTGCCTTGGCAAGCTGATGACAAAAGCGCATGACAAATTTAATAAACTTGAACTAAAACTAAAATGAAAACTGAAAATATAAAAAGCTAATTCAAAATATAAATAATAAATACTATAATATGCTGAAGGTAATGATTTGATGAAATATGATCTAGTATTGTTTATAAAAAGACACAAGTAGAGTAAACTATTTGGTATTGCTTATTATATATTTAATTATTTGACCATATTTAAACATTTTGGAGTGTAATAACTGAAAAAGCCTAGTTGACAACAGTGTTATTCTAGTATTATTTATATACTAATATAGTATTTATTAATATTTAGAATTTTTTCTTTTCTTTTTTTCTTTTTTGGATTTTCAGTTTTAATTTTGTAATGTGCTTTTGTTGCTTTTTTTATTATTAGGTTTTAACTAGCTTATAAGCTTTAATTAACTTTTAAGTAATTTGAGTATTTATTTCAGCTAGTTGCCAAATTTCTAAATGTTAAATTTTTTTGTAATATTTATATTTTATTTAATCTTAGTTTTAATTAACAAAAATGATTTTTAATAGTTTCAGTTTTAGTTAAAGCTAAAACTAAAGTTGTAAAGCTAAATTGATGCCTAAATGGAAGAATGGATAATGGAAAAATGACTGTTTGTTCAGATGCAAAGTTGGAAAAACATTTTTAAAAATTGTTTTTAGGCAACATGATTTTAATGCTTGCAGAATTTTCTCCATAGTATCTCAATCCAAGGAACATAAATAAAAAAAATTTACACTCTAAAAAATGCTGGGTTAAATACAACCCAGCACTGGGTAAAATGTGGACAAACCCAGGGATTGGGTTGTTTTGCCCCAGCGGTTGGGTTACTACCCAGAAGGTTGAGTTCAACCGTTGGTTGAAAACAACCCAATCCCTGGGTTTGTCCACATTTTACCCAGTGCTGGGTTGTATTTAACCCAGCATTTTTAAGAGTGTATGGACACAGGACTACAACAAATAATAGATATTCACATGAAATTATCTAAGTGCATACTTTATTAAGCGTGTCACTTAGTCATTCATGAGCATACACACACAGACACAGCCATAAATACTTGAGTCTATTAGTACCTGCGTCTACTGTAAAGTCGCTTTGACACTCTTTCCAGTTCCAGTCAGCTCCTCAGATCTGCCCATGCAACACTAGCAAAAAGTAACTAACACGAATGCAATGACACAGTCAATGAGCATGTCTACACGGCACGACACAGACAAACAGCGTGCAAGAGCAGCGGATACAATGGGTGAAACAAACGCAATTAGCTACACAACAGAACAGCAGCTTGGGTAGTGAACAATATAAGCACAAAAGAAACAGTTTTTGTACACGGAACAATGTGCTATTTAATCGTTTTCAAATGCGCATGCCAAGACAAGAGCTCTACAGTCGGATCTATTTACATCCAGCACTAACCAAAGCTTGCTCAGCAACCTGTGCAGAGACTGGTTATTGTGTGAATGCATGCAATAAGAGCATCATCACCACTTTGTCTGTAACACTGACAGTCATGAAGTCTGGCTGATATGCTAATAATAAATCACAATGCATATTTACTTTTCAGTAGCAAAACAACACCACTGTAGCAAAAAAACATGTTTCTTCATTGTCTTCTGA